AAGGTGTATCTACCCTCAATTTTCTTTTCATCCTAGAACAATCAGATATATACTAGAAAGGGAAAGCTAGTTGTTCATAACTATACTTCTGGGTGCTTTTCTCTGCTTTCAGAATATTTACTATTTTCCCTATTGGCTTTACTGTCCGCTGCCCGCCACACGACATGTAAATACATAATTTACAACCATCTGTTTCCAGGTAGATGATTCTGTAGAAAACTAATGCCAGCCACGATTATGGGTAAGTCCAAAAGATGATGGACTCAACTTCCTGTCCTCTGCATTTGAGATAACTAGCTTTTAGCTCATAAGTATACTGATAGTAATTACAAGTTAACCGCACTCAGTGTCACAACATCATATGCTGTCTTACTTGATTCTGTTTTTCAGACTTCCTTCTAGTTTCTCAGTGTTGGAAGTGTCTCGGAGATAATGTGTGCTTTCATTTTAAACACTCATTACCAATATTCAGAAAAAATATAAGATTTTTTTTGCCCAAGTGTTCATGAATGTAAGTTTTTTAAAAATTATATTTGATTTGGATTCAAATATTTATAGATTTACACTATATCTATTTCGTCAAAATATATTGTACAATATTTAATAAAATCAAATACATAAAATAAAGTTTTCAGCACTATTTATACAAACCCCTAGAAAAGCTGCTTTTTCTTTATAAGGCTGTTGGCAATCAATCACAACCATGGAGAAGAATGAATAACCTTTGGTTGTTTTGCTTTCACCAGGGATGAATGGTAGGACTAAGACCGTTCCGGAGGAGTCATTTCACTTCTGGAAACACGGTTTTATACAATAAATACTTTGAGACTTTTGAGGATCTCAGTCACTTTCAGATTCTTCATCATCACCTACCGGATACGACTGGATATTATTCTGGGTGTACATTTTTGTTTTAATGGGACAGTTGTGATCCATGAGAATAGCCTGAAAGAGAGCCAAGTGCAGATATATTAACCTTCTTTCATAAAGAGAAGATGGTTTTAACCTACCATCTTTAAGGATTACTAGTTGGAAAGCTGTATCTAGCACCACCCGCTGTCAACCAGTCCTTGGGTGCAACTGCCAGGTGCCTGGCCCAGAAGCCCCGGGGTTCCACACTCCGGGAGGGTTCCAGGCGAGAGAGACCACAGCCGCGGTCTCCCCCAGGGCTGTGAAGTCCAGTCAGGGCAACCTGCAAGCCATGAAGCAAGGGCTGTGCGGGTCACGTTTAGGAAGATTCTGTTTAGAATCTTGGAATTGGGACTGGGGTGAGAAGGGGGTAGGAATCCTGTAGGTCACCCAGTCCAACTGCTAATGCACGGATTTCCCGGTGGCAACATATCCTCCATGAGGTGAACTCCTCTTGGAAATGTACCTGAGGCTAAACTGCCTCCCTTGTTTCTCTACGTGGCTCAGATTCGAGCCATCTTCACAGACTGCCCTTAGGATATCTTAAGACCACTGCCCTGGCCCCTTAGGTTTCCCTACACTAATCACAGGGCCCCCTGTCTTCATAAATGGCATTTCCAGAGCACCTCTCCCCAAATCCTGGGTGTCTTCCTCTTGCTCAAATGGAGGTTTTAAAACAAAACACACAAAAAGACACTCTAATGAACATAAAAATCGTGTGCCTTCTCACTGTTACTGAAGAACAGTCCATTGATCCTCAGTTAATAAGTCCTGGTAATCATTATTCCTCTTGAACATGTGCAGACCAAGCCTCTTGTCTGAGAATACAGCTGCCCCGATCCTGCCAGGCCCCTGCCGAGCGGCCTTGCTGCAAGACCTCAGCTTCACGAGCACTCTAGGTGGTAGGCCCATAACCCTCTGTGTAGTCACAGCGATTAAAGAACATGACCATGAGACGTACAGCTAGAATGGGGCAGATAAGCGCCAGATAGCCTTGTGCCAAAGTCTGTTCCTGCTATAGGCGGGGGGGGAGGGGGGGGCACTGCATGGCAGGACACTGGGTACAACTCATGGATTCTCCCACCAGCTGTGCCTTCTGGAGTCTTCCTCCATATAAACTATTCCCCCAATACCTTTTTTTGCAGCATGAAAATCTACTTGGAAACATTTATCTGTTAAAATTTATCTCATGTTGGCCTACGGCAACCTATCTCGGTGTTTGTCAGCTACGCCCCCCAGGTCTTGCCCCATACATTTGATAACTTCTATGACTCCACACAGTGCTAACCCATTTATCATTTCCTGAGAAATTCTAAAATGATCTGCCTGGGTGACATGTTAAGATAATGACTTTCTTGACCCTCTAAGTCAGGCTGCCAGCTCAAATCATCAGCTGCAAATTTAACTTTTTTTTTTTATGCTTCATGCCAAGTGAATTGATACATGTATTTAATAAAGAGCTCAATTTCTAAAACTCAGTAACTGATGCAACAGACATTGTCCACGAGGACCATTCTCCCCGTATGGACATATCCTTGTTACACAAAAGGTTTAACCTCCAAAGACCTCAACGTCTCACCTCTACAGGGTAGTGATCCTCAAAGAAACATGCACAAGAATCACCTGGGGGGGGGGGTGAAATTAAACCTGAAATTCAGGTCCCTAACCCTTCATGACAGTGGTGTCAACATGCTATGAGAAGCACTGCCTTAGTGATATAGTATCATCTAGAACTACAGCAGAGCCGAATGGCTACCAACAGCCTGCTGGGCACCTGCTGCCGTCCCCCTAAGGTCCTAACCCAGCACCTCCGTAACTTCCCCACAAGGGAAGGACAGGTCCCACAGCACACACAGGTGGGTGAAGTGCTCAGGGATAGCTGTATGGAGGAGATGGGACACGAGCTGAACCTTGAAGGATGGGAAGGATGGGCACAGCAAAGGAACTGTGAGCACAGTATGAATTATCTCCTCGACGAGCCACTATGTAAAACAGGGGCATGGGTGCCTAGGTGGCTCAGTCGGTTAAGCGGCTGACTCTTGATTTCGGCTCAGGTCATGATCTCAGAGGGTCATGGGACTGAGCCCCGCACTGGGCTCCACACTCAGCAAGCAGTCTTCTCGGGCTTCTCTCTCTCTCCCTCTCCCTCTGACCACCTCCCCCAACTAGCACACTTGCTCACTCTCGCTCTCTCTCAAAAGGAATATAAAAATAAAATAATAAAATAAAAACAGAGACAATAAGTGAGCCAGCCTGACCACCACAGAGGTCTGATGTTGAGGTACACAGACGTTAACTAGAAAGACCAACCAGAACCAGACTGCAGGGCCCTGAACGCCAGGCAAGGGGCCTCGATCCCTGACCCACAGGCAGCAAGAGCCCTGGGAAGGATGGCTATCATTCTACCCCTCTCATAACTGCCCTCTCTTGGTTCACCGCCCCCCCCAGACCTGACTCTGCGTATATGTAGACTTCTTAAGGATCCCAGAAACCTCACACTGGGCACCTAGGACGGACTCAAACAGCTGTGTTGCAAGGGAAGTTCAGTCAGACTGATGATAGGAGCATCGAACAGACCTCAGTGGTCAGAAGTTATCAATGCAGCCAAATCACATTTGCACACAAAGCCTAGTCCAGATAAATAAGTTTTCTTTCTTGAAATACTGTTTCGTAGCTCTTAAAACCTAGCTTACTGGCTTCTGAACCTCTTTTGAAAGAATGTGTGACATCTGTGACATCTGCTTTTATAACAAGTTATATGTGATCAAATAAGCCAGACGGCATCTGTAATATTCCCAAAGAGCCAGGGACAGAAGGGGGGTGAACAGGAGAAAGTGGGTAAGTCAAGCGCGTAGGGGCCACGAGCGCGGCTCATGGAGCCGCCAGGTAATTTAAGCCAGCACTCTGCTGGGGAACAAGGTGTGTCTGACTCTCCACCAAAGACAACAGAGGAAGGAGGAGGGTATCTGAATCCCAAACAGAGCCCAGTTACTGAGAAATGAACCCCCACCAAGCGCCTGGCTTCCTATCAGACACAGAGCAGAGTGAGGCTCTCCAAAGTGGTAAAAGCCTTGTTGGACCAAATGAAGTATATAAATTAAATACACAGCAGGATACTCAGACAGGAAAAGCATTGAAGCGTAAGCCCCTCCAGGCTTGGAGATTTTGAGATACCAGGCCTGTATGCTGCAAAGTTTTATTTACTGTATCTAAAAAAAAACAAAAAAAAAAATTAGTGATGGTTGTGCATATCCACTATGTAAATGCCCTGCAAAAGGACACATTTCTATAAATAGATTGTAACATGCAGGTCTTTGCCTGGACCCTGCATTCAGGAAACAGTAGCAGGAAGGACGGAAGGACTCTCTGGAAACAACTATGAGAGAGCCAAGAGTCACCCAGGAAAACAAGCTGTGATCTCAAACACCGACCTTCCCCTCTGGGCCACAACCAGAAACTTCAAGAGTAAGATGTAAGAAACGTGCCCTATCTTCAAAAATAATTCTTCAACCTGAAAAACATATCCATTCCAGCACACAGCTATTCTCACCTGGGTACTCTGAGAATCATGGGCTGCATGGCATTGTCGTGTACCTAAATCACGTGGCAGAGTGGATATTTCTTACACTTGCAAAGGGACCTGAGTAACAAACAGGTTTTCTTCTCCCTCTGCACTGATGAAAGGGAGGAAGGGAGGGTGGGAGGGAGGGAGGGAGAAGAGGAAGAAAGAAGGACACCAAGTACACCAGATAGAAAAAGCACTCAAGCGCTCACCAACTAGTCCATGATTCTACGATTGTGGACCCATGAAAACAGCGTTTGATCCTTCAATAGAAAACAGCGGAAGCCCCAATGCCTCGTTATCAGAACGCTGCCTAATGAAAGAATTAATTGCTATAGTTTATAGGCCTTCTTCCGGCTCTCCTGCCCCCCCTGCATCTGGTAACTGCTCATCCTGAGCGCCAGCACTGGTCAGTATTGGATTTTCTCAAGTGGGCAGTAATCACTTCTGTCCCCTCCGTGGCCCACTGCCGTCCCGGCCTCGCCACCCTCCCCCCACCCCCCCCCCCCCCGCATCATTAGGCTGCTTCCTGCTCCGTGAGTAGGCAGCCGCTGCCGGCCACCCTCAAAGGCCACCATTCCACGGGGCAGACGGAATCCAGTGTGATACCTGTGATCACGGGCAGCGAGATGCGCGTCTTCTCAAGTTTTTAAGGATTCCTCTTCCTAGGCATGCATTAAGGATTTCGACATTTTACAGTGAAAGTAAAATGGAAGCCTGCAATCCTTGTTGCTTTGCCTCTCAAGATCATCTCTCTCACTTCCCGGGCATCGTCACGTGAACTAAAGCACGGATTTACGTGAGGGAAGAGAAGAGGCATCGGGGGCCTGCCTCCTGCCCGGCGTCATGGGGACCCCACGGTGGCAGCTGGTGGGCAGGCTGATCCCCCAGCTCATCCTCGGACCTCTCTCATCTCGCTCATTTCCTCCGACGCCCCAGGTAAGCCATCGCGCTGCTGCCGACACACAGATAACCCAACAGCCACTAACGTCTGCTGCTTGGCCAGGGAAACCCATTCAGCAGTCCTGGGGTCTCAGGAGCAAAAGGAAGCACTCACCTCACAGAGAGGACAAAGGGACAATACTCTGGGCGGACAGTAAATCAGAGCATTCAGTAAAAGCAAGAAAGAAGTATAGGGTGGTACTGGAAATAGTAACACATCTGCTGAATGAACATTTCCTGTGTGCTACGCACGGGGCTAAGCACCCCGCGGGATTCTCCTCCGAATCCTCCCAGCAAGCCAGTGAGGCAGATGCGGTCATTTCCCCATGGGACAGTTCGGCTCCAAGGCCATGCCAGCCCTTCACTATCTCCCAAGAATCATCAACAGTCTCCCGCGGGGACAGGAGCATTCGTAGGTGATTTGTCTTTTTTTGGTCAAAAAGGGTTGGGAGTAACCTTCCTTCAGCCTTAATCAAATTGATATGGTGGCAACAGAAGGACAGTTTTTAGTTGTTGCACTGAGAATTTTCTGACCCTGATTTGGGCAAGGCACTGTGTGGGGGTCAGGCCGGGGGACAGGTCAGATGATCTGTCAGATAAAGCACTACGGTTGTTCAGCATCTAAGCAAGAGGACGGAAGCAGGGGTGGTTTCCATCGGGGTATTTCCACAACACTTTCCACTTCTTTCCATCAGACAGGGCCTGAGTGATTCAAAATTACTGCTTTACATCCTGTATAATAAAGGGCATAAGACCAGTGCCCAATGCTGAATATATTTTTTCAATATACTGAAGGAATTCATGAATACAAAGAACGCTCCAAACAAATAAATGCTGCACATGGCCTAACTTTAGAATCTGTGTCTGTTTTTAAACTCACTCTTTGGGGAAAATCATAAAAGGGCAGTTCAAGAAATGCCAAAGCATCAAGACCCATTTCAGTTCAACCGTCAGAAAGAACTTCTGATGTACCCCCAAGAGAACATCACAAGCGAACCTCATAATCACAAAAATACTGTCTCTGCCTGCCTTGGTTATCTCATTCACTCTTAATCTAAACCACTCTTCTTCCAGCTGGACGAGAATCTGTCACCATGGGAGGTTTTAAAAACTCTACCACCACGTATGGAGGCTGTCAGATTAACACGACTAATGCATTTCAAAATTCAAGTTTAGAATCAATAAGTGAATCTGTTCAGAAGAGGAACGCCTTATACTCAATTCTATATCTTTCATCTAGTTACGGTTCTGGTTATAAAATTGTGAATTTAAAGGTTAGACATGCCCCTGTGGGCCCAGAGGTACATATATGATAGTTTTCCAAAATGCTCTGTTATCTACACCAAAACCATCTCTAGAATCTTTTGCAGTAAGGACTAAAACACTATTACTGAAAGCTGTAAGGCTTAGGAGAAAAGCAAACAGCACCAAAAATGGCTAATCTTAGGACTCGGCACAGGAGGCAAAAAAAAATAATATCCAAGATTTTCAATAGCTGAAGAAAATCACATTGAACTACCCCATGTCTGGTGGACAAGAGCTATACAGACTGCTAACATATGTATAAAAGTCATTTCATTCTTCACATTTACAAACAAAATGCTTGATATAGTAAAAAAAAAAAAAAATATGGCCCATGTGGTATAAACTTTGACCATTTATGTTTGGGGAATTCTGTCTAAAAGGAGCAGAAACATATTTTATAATTAAGCCATGAAGAAACTATCCAGAAGACCATGCTAAAATGATCAAGAAACACTTGACTGTGGCCCAAAATTTTCTTACCATTTTTTCTTCCTTGGCAGGTGGACTTCGAAGAAAAAAGCAGAGAGGAGCAAAAAGAATATCAATTATTCCAATAATGGTCATGAGCCATGGAAATCCGATTGCCTTTGCGATAGCCCCACCAGCAGAAGGACCTTTCAGGAAACAGAGAATTAGACTGACCTCTCTCCAGATGTCTCACAGATAGGAAGGTACAAAAGTTTAAATAATTTTCGGGCGCCTGGGTGGCTCAGTTGGTTAAGCGACTGCCTTCAGCTCAGGCCATGATCCTGGAGTCCCGGGATCGAGTCCCACATCCGGCTCCCTGCTGAGCAGAGAGTCTGCTTCTCCCTCTGACCCTCCTCCCTCTCGTGCTATCTCTCATTCTCTCTCAAATAAATAAAATCTTAAAAAAAAAAAGTTTAAATAATTTTCAACCAGCATGATCATGCATTAAGCTAAAACATTGTTTTGAAAAGCCAGAGTCCTTACCTATGGCATATCCCATACAGAACGCCACATCTGCAATGGCATACACGCTCCCGTAGACAGACACGTGCCGCAGGTCGACCAGGTAGCCCATGATGGGCATCATTGATGAATCCACCATTCCTGTGGATAGTCAGGGAACATGGTCTATGGAAAATGGATGTAACCCAAAAATGTGGGGAATATTGGGGACTGTGTCCTAACCTCACAACCCCACCAGCTCTTCCCCAGTGGTCATCACCACCTGTGAGTCTCAAGGCAGGCTGCCCAAGGCATACACTTCACTGAGGACAGACTGCCGGTGGCTGAGGCTAGGACTGGAACCCAGGCCACCTTCGCCTGTTCTCCACCTTATCTCACCTTGTCCTCTACGGTCTGAAGGGCCCATCTTCCAGGGGAGGGCCTCCAGTCCTCTGGTGACTCACAGACCAGGCTTCACATCCAGTGGGGTGCTGGCTACTGGCTGTGTGGCCCCCTCACTTGCTTCCAGCTGGTGCTTTCCAGATTAACTCTCTTCTGGCCCACTGGCCCCTTGCCCTCAGCCAGGGGGCACATCTACAAACCTCACACACCCCTGTCCTCAGCCACACCTTAGCCTCACACACAACCATAAGAAGAAGCTGGAAAGTATCAGGGAAGATGGGAAGGAATCAGAACATGAAGTTGTCTGAGAGGTCACCCGGCCCTGCTCAGGGAAGAGACTGAAAGAGGTCTAATTTGGGGCTCAAACAAACACCACATCCAAGGCCAGGATTATAATCTCTTATTCCTTCAACAGGCTGGGACAGGAAGCATAAAGAGCATGTGTGCTGAGTCCTAGGTTCAAGTCCCTGGCGGGGTGAGCACGGCCATTCTTCTCTCTCCAAACACTGGCTTCCCCATCCATAAAATGGTGCAGATAATGATCGGCTGAAAGGAGACTGTATCATCCGTGGACCCCTCCAGCAGGGTACTCCAAAGTTAGCTCCCTCACCCCCACCAAGGACTAGCGGCAAGAAGAGGAGGGAAGTTTCTTTCATTCAATGAGTATTCCTTGATCCCCTAACATGTGGAGGGTGCTGGGGCCATGGGGTGAACAAAATGGACAGAAGGGGCGGACGGGCCGCAAAGAGCTGAAATACGAATCACAGTTGTCACACACATCATGAGGTGCTGTGTGAGGACAAACCTAACCCAGCCTGGGGAGTCTGCAGAGGCTCCCTTCTCTCTTTCCACAGTACCAAAGATTCAATTCTCGCCTTTAGCCTGTGATAGATTTAGCATTTACTTTTATTAGGTGCCATCTGTATATTACAAATGAGAAACAAATGTATACTATTTATAGAACATGTTCACGAGATTGTTCCTAACATGTGACTATTCCTCCCATTACAGACTCGTCCCCTTTGCCGGTGAGAAGTCCCGCAGCATGGTGGTGATCGATATCTCTGTTCACCTTTTCTGTACCAAACCTCACCCCACCCCCTGCCCACCCTGGTTCATAGGAGCAGCTCAGTGCACAGACCTGAGCCCAAACAAACAGGCTCTGAGCAAGGGATTCTCTTGTTTGCCCGAGGGCAGCAACGGAGTATCCGTTTGCTTCTGTAAATATCAGGCTTTTAAAAATACTGGTTTTCTGGAAATAAAGGACTAGTACGCAGAAGCAGGTATCTATCTATAGATAGTGGTCAGGCTGTACTTGAACGTAGCTGCCCACAGCCTCCTCTCAAGCTTCCGGAAATTTTAGGTTGAGGAACTACAGTCTGCCCAAATCAACTAAGAAAGAGGAGATCTTTCTTAGTTGTGGGGAAAACAAAGTTTCAAATTTAGGCATAAGGTTATGGGACTTACCAATCGCAAAACCAACTCCAAAGTTGGGAGCTATGAGTCCATAAATGTTTTTTGCAAAAGGAATCTGTAAGAGGAAATAAACATTACCCGAGAATCACCATATCCAACTGTAAATCTTCTGGGAAAACCTCTGGCCTGGGTGTGCATGTTTCCTTCTGAAGGAAATGGGAGGAAGGAAGAGGGTCGTGTTTGGGAAGAACCGGGACCTCCAAGTCTTTAAAAGTTGAAGCTGAAATGGGTTTTGCGACCACCAAGGAAAACTCGCTGACTGCCACAGTTGAGATGAGCCTGGACCACACTCCGCTTCTGACAAGAACCAGAAGGCCTCACTTGCGGTAGATACGGGCCATTGGTAGAGGTGTTTTATTCTAGAAAAACATCTTGCTGTTGTTTCAGGCTAGTTGTTTGAAAGTGTTTTAAGACACTGTAATGTTTAAGATGATGAGGGGATAGTGACATATACACTATGCAACAAAATATACTACCTAACCTGCAACTGACATAAAATGAAAATGTATTCCTTGGAAAATCTTGTCCAAAATGTTTAAGATGATAAAAAAAAAAATCAGAGGAAAATGGAAGATATCATAAAACCAAAAATCAACAAACTTTACACAGCTATAAAAGGTTTCCTGGGGATCCTGGCCCAAAGCAAAGTTTTATTTACACACCATTACCACTTGTCAAATATCTTTTACTCACACATAAAATGCTGATTCCAACAATTATCATTCCTAGAAGAGCACAAAGCCACCTACCAAGAAAACAAAAAAAGCACCTTCAGTAAATGACCACTCCGATTTTTCCCCAGTCCAATTTTTCAATAGAAGTTAAAACAATTGCTTGTAATAACTAAGGCAGAAACATGTAGAATTTGCTTAAAAGAGATACATTATTCTAAGAGAGTACTGTTTGAATTTCATCTTACCTCCCCATTTTGTGTGCGAGCATTCCAAAAATATTGGTTCCAATGAGATAAGAGATGCTAGCTGGCAAGAAAGCAATGCCTGTAAATTTATGAAAAGGACACCTTATCAGTATTGATTATCAGTCAAGTGTTAGAAAAAGTAATAATTGTCAGACACCACGATGGTGATTAGAACCGAGGAGAGAAGCCCTGGGGCCAGCACCCAAGCAGCTAATATCCGGCGGCTGACAGATCCAGACTGGCCTCAACGGGCCTGATCCATCCTCACAAAGCTGCTGAGACACTCCAGAAATGAAATCCATTCCTCTATCAACAGCTCCATCTTGCCTGGGGGTGGCTAGACGCGCGGCCTGACTTGGGCATCTCCCGCCACAGGAGCGGGGCCACTGCGACCCCACACGCGCCGAGCAGTAGCACCGCCTGCTCCGGCCTCACCCCTTTGTTACTTTACCACAAGGAGGAAGACACAGGCATTGGGGAAAAAAAACGGGAACATTAAGGACCAAGAAAAAAGTTAAAATCATCCCAAACCCCATCACTCAGAGAATGAGCATGGGGATCTCCTCCCGTAAGTTTATACACACAAGTTCATACACACACAGATAAATGTGTGTCCATGGGATTTTAAGAAAAAACAAAAAACAAAATATGGGTTTGTACTACTGTTCTACATCCTGCTTCTTTCAACTAGCTTTATGAACATCTTTCCATGTCTAAAAAAAATAAATGTCCATGTGGTCCTTTTCTGTGGCCAAGTCACGTGACGGTCATTGACATGTCCAAGGTTTCCATGCTCTCCCAGAGACCTGTCGTCCCCGGGCCAAGCCTGTGCCAGTTTCCAGGTGCGGGTGGTGGTGGTCGCCTTGAACGTCATCTCTGCATTAAACAGAAAGTCCTCGTCGAGTGTGACCTGCCTGGCTGCTGGGGATTTGTCCACATCAGCTCCGTGTGGTCCCCATCGGTTATCAGGACAATAGACAATCTCTTCTCAAAAGATGGCTTTTCAAACTAGTCATACTTTTGATGTTCTTCTTGGACTCAGTTATACCAGATTTGATTCTAAGCCTTGCCCACTCATGGTGAACATTGCTCTGTCCTCAATCCCATGACTGTACAAGCCAGACACACATGCCATATACTAGATGGTCAGCAGGTAGGCACTGGAAATGCACAGGGCCTGGGGCCTTTCCTGTCCCTGCAGCTCAGCAGCGTGCAGACAGACAAGTGTGATCTTGGCCCTTCAAGGAAAGAGCAGCCTCTCCCTGCACCTCTCTAAGCACGAATGCAAGCCATCAAACCCTCCAGAGAGGCTGAGCCTTCTAGCACAGGAGGGACTTCAAAATGATTAGGTTCAGGAGCGAAATCCAAAACCAAATCATCCTAGGCTTGGTGACCTGGGAAATAATAATAAAGAGCAATCTCATTTTCATGTTCCAGGAAACCATTTCCGTCACACTTGTCATAGGGGCAGCCAAATGATTGTTGGGGGTAATCGGATTCAGCAAACGTGCCTGATAACATGGGCCCGGCTCAGTGCTACAGTGAAGACAATGACCACAGCGTGGCTCTAGTCGCCATGAGCACGTCTTCAAAGGAAGGAAGCAGATGACGCCTGAACTGGAACATGTCTATGTCAGGGACTAACACAGGTACGGATGCAGGGCTCTGGGAACCCAGATGCTCCCCAAAGCAGCCGGTAATTAGGCCTAACCTTGACCACAACGTAGTCGAGTTAGTCTGGAGACATAGGAAATCACGAAGGCCTTGGTCTCAGGATGAGTGTCTCTGGGGTTCGGGGAGGAGGTAAAGAAGGAAGGGAGCAAAGTATGAGACAAATAACAGCACAGGGGTCATGATAAAGAGCCACCAACACTGGGCCTCAGCGTCCAAGAAACAAAAGGAAAACGGACGGGAAGGGCCTCGACCCCCTCCAGGAAAGCAGCTGCGCTTCCTCCCGGACGATTACTGCTCTGGAGGACTGAGGTCACAGATTGGAAGATCCAATTTTTCTAGAAAAGCCTGAACTCAGGGGTCATACATGAAATCTTCTGGGATTTGTAAACGTTGGCAACTAATTTTTAAAAACATATAGCCCTCGCAGGCTGACACTGAAGCAGCCAACCAAACCCCACCTATGGGCTGAATTCCGGTCCACAAACACTGCCGTAACCTGGAGCCAAAAGGATGTGGGTTGCAAAGAACCCGGCCGGGAGCCCTGCTTCCTGGTGAGTCCTGACTCTAGGAGCAAAGCCTCAAAGCAGGGTCAGCAACGTGCTCCAGAGGAAGCCACAGATCTGCTACAGCTTCCTGACTTACGAATGGGGTGCTAGGCTCACCCGTGGGACCCGCTTGTAGACGCACCTGATTTTCCATAGACGGCAAATACTCTCAGGTGGCAAACTCCAGTTTCATGCTTCTCCAGGAGAAAGCACCGGAAGTAAGGCAAGAAGCAAGATGTTCATTTCAGCTAGACACGGACTAGCGGAGGCTCCAGTGGGTCACTGTAACCTCTCAGAGCCCAAGAAACAGTGACCGCTTCTCCAGCACTCATCTCATAGGAAGGCTTTGAGGTTCCAAGGGCAACTAGTCCTCCCCGTCTGATTCCCCTGCCCTGTCCTTCCCTGTGAGCTCCTTCCTGGCATTTCACCCTGGCGGTCTGGCCTTCCCCAAACTGCAGTGATCTCCTAGCGGGCAGAGGGGACCACAACACCTGTTCCCACCGCCCAGCTCCAGGTGGCACACAGGCGATGCTCAGAACACGGCTGATCACTTAGAGAAAAAAACCCGTGTAAGGACACTGACTTCACAGAACCAAAAGTATTGAGGGACGCCAATGTCCCTTGAAGGCAGGGCCCCCTTTGTCCAGCAGCCTGCCTCCGGTGGGTGAGAGACGACAGTGTAGTCTGGAGCCAGGATCCTCTTTTCTTGACTTCCAGCTTCGGACCTCAGCCTCCAAGCCCCTGAGAGCTGATCTGCCATAGCTTCGGCATCCTCTGCGTTGCCAGGGCCCCCACCGCCCCACACAACCGACAGAACCCGTTCTAGGAACTCAAAGAAACCTAGAAACCTCAGTGTGCCTCCCACAGCAGCCTGCCTGGTGTCCCAAGAGACCCCCTGGCTTTGCTCAGAGAGACCCGGGCTGAGAGCACTGCTCTTCCAGACAGATCCTTAAGGACAGTTCCTGCGAGGTGCAGGTGTCCTAACACCAAGCCCAAAATTTGCCATCACTTCCACCCACTGGTCCTGGTGTGCCTTCTGGAACCTTCCACCTCCTCCCCCAGCCAGGCCACCAGCACGAGAGAAAATGCCTCCCACCCACGGTTTGGCTTCCCCAGCGAACCACCACCAGGGCTCCAGGGTCGTTCCCAGTGGCTGGGCATCCACTGCCACCCTCGTGTACAAGTTCAAGTCACTCCTCTACCTTGAAACACGGTGCCCAGAACTGCCCCTGCCCAGCTCCATGTTGGGTGCACAACACGTGACCATAGCACCTGGGGAAGGACCAAGGGAATGGTGGAGCT